TTCACAATGTACAGTAGGTCGAACCTTCATCTTTGCCGATTAGCACCATTTCCTTACCAACAAAGCAGAGAAAAGTCGCACACAAGCTTTGTTCAAAAATTTATGAAGTGTTTAATAGCTTCATCAAATTAGTGCACCGAATATTTCGCGGTCTCTAAGGGACCTTATAAACCCATGTAGATGAATCAACAAACAAAACTCAAATACTCAGACATCAGAAAAAAAGAACAGTGATGAATGAAGCCATCCATCTTTAGTGGAAGCAATATCTTGGCCAGCATTGGAATTTAACCATCCGTCGTACAGTAGGAATATGTCGCGATGATGCTCGAAGAACTCTTCTTTATCAAAGGATCTCAACTCGTCTCTTAAAGTAGTTTATTAGGAATTGAAAGAAATAGAGAAAGATGCACCTGGTAAACCAAGACACGACACACTCTTCAGAATCATGAAAAGCATCTGGTTCACCAAGATCATCTTCACAATGCATCAAGCACCCGAAGAAGACTGTACCGATAAAGATAGAGTGTGGAACACTAGCTCTGTGCCTAAAAGTAGAGACTGCTGAGGCGCTAAATGAAGGAAAAGGATTAATAGTACCTTACTGAGATAATAGCATCTGGTGTAGCACGGATTCCGGTCTGTTCTAAAACCTTTCTTTTTGCGGTATCAAATAGTTTTTCGTGAGGTTGAGCCTTTCCACCAGGAAATCTCCACGTTTGGCGAATGCTGAATTTCTTTGTTTGCCAACAACTTTTTCAACAATTATAAACTAGGGCAAGAGCAACTCACTACTTCAGTTCCTTGATCACCAAGATACGGCCCAACTTGTCCACGACCAAGCACTGAACGCAGTGATGGTAGCAGGCATTTCTGGAAGGCGAGCGAGATTTTTAACACAAAGCTTATTAAGTTGCCGTTTCGCTTTGATTTTCGTATGTCAAAATGTCGTTTTGATATGAAACGTCAAAATATACCTAGATTCAGCCAAGATTTCTAGTAGCAAGTCAGTTCAAACCCCTACTGTAATATAACGGAGATTCAAAATTTAGCGTCGTCAATAACTGATAAAATCATACCCTTACATGGCTAGCCTTCAGTCGTTTTTTTTTCTTCCCAAGTTTCGTTGTTAACAAGTAGCCAGCGCACAGAGGAGGAATTAAGGTACGTAATTTGGTAACTGGATATATACAAGCTTTGGCTGCCGAACTGTAATAAAGACTGAGCTCTTTAGCTTGCGCAATTCCGTAATTACAAAAACACCCGGCATTCATTCTGTTCATTCTAGATTGCCTAAGTTTGACCATACTTACTTACGTAATTGGGTGCAAATCATAGGTGCGATAGGGTGAGATGAGTCTCACCCCCCTCT